AAATGTAATGGTATTTCTGACGGTACTTATTCAATTTAATAATCAACAGGATAATGCTGCTTATCTTAACCTTTGCATTATCTATAGTCTTCAGTAAGAAAGGTTTCTTCTGCATCTTAACTTTGGCTTTATCCATTACTCATAATTCTATCAGCTTGCATAATATTGCGCGACTCAAATAACGTTCAATATATGCAGTGTTTAATTAAAGATAAAGATTTTCTGCACATCATATTTTAATAAACTTTTGATTGAATCTCCTGGAAACCTATAATTATGGTATAATTGTTAATTAAGGTGCAATTACCTATTTTAACTAATCATTTACTAGGAAAATGAAGGTTAATTACAAAATAGGAATTTTTTAAAATGCTTTTTTATTGGTCATTTATTTAATAAGTTATAGTCTAAGTTATAAATAATCTCAATCTGCTTACCCACGACAATGTAACAAAGGGACAAAATCAACACGAATTTGAACATTCTGGAAAGCTGAAACAGTGAAATCTGACCAACTTATACAACATGAGCAACCAAGTGCAGTCTTGGTCTCCTCACTTATATAGAGCTACAGTAGGAATAGCATGTTGTAATGTCACCCTTTAGAGCGTTTATCATTGACCTAACATTTGATGCTTGGTAGTGTTCAAAATAGCAACGGACATGGGTGAAATACTTAGCTAGGTACGTTTTTCGTTCGGAAAGGTTAAGGTTGAGTCATTATGTTAGGGGACAGGAAAAGAGGGGGTGGGAGGTTTAGAGCATTTCACAACTATACACGTATACGTGATTTGATGTGTGCAAAGTGTTGCGACATGTTTTTTTTTCCCCTTAGAATGCTTTTAAAAAACTCATGTAAACCACCTTTGCTGCTATAATTAGCTTTCCTAATCAATCCACTTTTTAATTACAATGTGATTTTTATTACTTATTCGTTGCCAATTTGAATCTCGGGGGGGGGGGATATACTAACAATGTGGGTAATTTTAACTCGTCACATTCTATACTAATAGTTATGAAAATATTATAACTTGAAATTAATAACAAATCCTACAGTAAAGAGATCGTAGATAGAGGTCATCAGTTCTAGAGGGAATGAGATGAAGAAGAGGTGAGGGGGTCTAACTTAACGACGATTATCAAGGTATGAAGAAGAGCGCTAAACAAGATGGGGCAATTATTTTCACATCGGGATATGATGAGTAAATTTCCCTTTCGAACCTGTTTCTGTGACCTCGGCATATGAAGTGATAGTGTGGTTAAAACTATGCCCAGACCCCTTTACTTCCCCCCCCCTCCCCTCCGCCACACAGGTGTATATGTTATAATGTAATATTTTACTCTATTAAATGCTTTATTTTACTCCACTAGTAAAAAATGAAATAGAATTATATAATTTTGCCATTTTACTTTCGCGTATACGAAGTTTAAATAAAGCATTGTAATTGTGAAAAAATTCTAAATCGGGATTTTGACAAATCTCAACGTTTTACATCTCATGAGTCTAAAAACATTTTTTTGTAATTTTGTCTGTATGTTGAAATTTTATTGAAATGACAGGTACATGTAATTTTAAAACTGAAGTTTAGAAGACAAAGGCATACGTGTAAACTTGAAACTTTAGAACAGCTCCAGATTGGATGTTCAACGTCTACATTTGGCTGCCTTAGCCAGCAGTCGAACGACGGAAAATATTAAAAACATAATCCTATATTTACCAGCACGTTAATTAGAATATAAAAGTTACAGTAGGTAATTATTTTAGAAATATTTTGAACTCACAAAACAGGTATTTCCCAAATCTTAAATTAAACATGTTTTAAAACGGTTAGTTTTGACTGAAACTCATTAATATTCCTCTCCTGAACGCCAGAGCCCAACTCGCTAGCCTCTGGAGCAGCCGCCACATCCCACATGCAGTTTATGAAACCGCCGGCCCGACTTCCACATAATTCTGTGGCTTTGTTGACCAGACAACCGGAAAACTGATCCATCAATCTAAACACAGGGGGGGGGGGGTGGAGGGTTTAAAAATAGTATTTTAAAATACACATAAAAACACATGTAAATATTTTACAGATTGTAAGGCTTTCTGCTCCTCCCCTGGTTTGCATCCCTTGATCAGGAGTTTTCGTCCCTTTATAATGAGTGCGTCCCTTGATCAGGAGTTTGTTTCCCTTTATTAGGGGTTTGCTTCCCTTGAATAGGAGTTTGCGTTTCTGGGACCTGGAATATGAAGGTATAATTCGCATGTAGAATATCCTCATACAAACTTTCCTAATGCATCAATTCCACTCCTAGTTTGATTTCATAAGAGGGCAAGCGTGTCCAATGTATAGATTCCATTCAAAGTCAAGTTTCTTCTATGCATTAGTAGACAACACAATGAAATATCTGTATTTCTGTCGCATGTATTAGCATGTGGTGATTTTACTAGAAGAAAAAATTACATACTCTATTACAACCACACTCTTCCCCCATGTCAATTTCTCTCAGATATTTGAGGGAAAAGTATTTATACGGTACATCTATTAAAGTACGAATTAGCAAATGCTATTTTCGGACCTATTCATTTGAATGGCGTCAGTCAGTTGAATCGTCTTCAACAGCTGTATCAGGAGCCAAATTATTTCCTTGCACGTAAGATGAGTTTGGGCAAGTCTACTTCTTCGCTTTTTTTCTTTACAACAAGAAAAGTCTGCACTACACTACAATTACTGATTGATCTAGAAAATATAGATTTGAAAATCTCGACGTTTACACATCCCTAAGTCTGAAAAACTTAGTTTTGCAATATTGTCCGTATGTCTGTGTCTGTTTACCTGTCTGCCTGCTTTCTTTAAGCATAAAATTTAGAGTACCCTTTCAACTAGTTGACAAAAGTTCATCTATAAGTAATATCAACTTTGTAGTTCTGTATCAGGTTGTGAGCGATTTCCAGTAACCGGGAGTTGTACTTACTTACTCCATTTCAGGTTTCTCAAAAGCCAATGACTTGCGTGCCGTTTAATTTTAGTGAATTTTCATTTTTTAAGTATAACGTTGTATGCGCGTGTTTCTGTCAAATTTTGAACACTTTCGAAAACCGAAGTGTTTCTTTATGCTATTTTCTTGTTAGTACTATACCTATCATTTCAGTTAGGTAGACGAAATCTTAAACAGGTATAATATCTTATTATCATGAATAGTTCAAATGTTGAGTGAGTTCCCGTATTTCAGTACATTAAAATTGCGCACCTAATGAACATGATAACGCGCTTATAATAGTGAGGAATAATTTGATAAAACTGCCTACTAATTCAGAAAATATTTATTTAATTCATAAAAAATAATTATGCTAGTTAATCAAATTTAATGTTAGATTGCATTGTCTACAAGTCTAGACCCACGTGCCAACTTTGAAACGAATCTGTCAGTTTGAAGTGCTCGAAATTTCGCTCGGACGTTTCTATCTATGACGACAGACAAGGAAGCAAGTTAAATAAGAGCTTGTAAAAAATTCATAAAAAACGTTTTAATAATAAGCTTTTAATGCACTAAAGGGAGAAAATAAATTATACTCTACTATTTAAATACCTATAAAGAAAAGCGTGGGTAACTTTAGTATCTATTGGATATCTTTACTAATATTTATTAACTTAAGAAAACTACGCTTTTCTTTATAGTTATTTTAATAGTCGTGTATAATTTATTTTCTACCTTTTAGAGCATTATTACATAAAAGTTTGTTATTAACAAATTTTTTATGAATTTGTTTTCAGTACTTTATTTTTTTTTAAATTTACCATAGAGTTGCATGACTAAAAGTGCTTTTGTACATACAAGCTTGTTATTAAAAGTTTTTTTTATGATTTTTTTTCAGTACTTTAAATATTTAAAATTTACAATAGAGTTGCATGACTGAAAACCATTGCGCACTTAATCAACGTGATGACGCGTGTCTAAAAGTGCGGAATAGTTTGGTGAGACAGCATACTACTTTGGACACAATTTTAATTATTTCATAAAAAGATTAAAAAGGCAACCAATTACGTCCAATTTAATGTCATGTTGCACAGCCTTTGTGTCTTGACCTACGTACTAACTATGAACCGTATCTGTTGGTTACAAATGCCCGTAATTTCGCTTGGGCGTTTCGATCTAGACAGATAGACCGACAATTGACGACAGAGGAAGCAAGTTAAATAAAAGCTTGTAAAAAAATTAATAAAACACGTTTTAATAACAAGCTTTTATGTACTAATGCACTAAAAATTAAAAAATAAATGAGTTTCTTTAAAAATATAGTAATATAATACATTAGTATTTAAATAACTATAAAGAAAAGCGTGGGTCGCTTCCTAAATATTAGTAAAATTATCCAATAGATAATATAGTGACCCGCGCTTTTCTTTATGGTTATATAAATAGTAGTGTATTATATTACTATATTTTTAAAGAAACTCATTTATTTTCTACTTTTTAGTGCGTCTGTACATACAAGCTTGTTATCAACACGTTTTTTTTTTTATGAATTTTTTTCCATTCTTTAAATTTTTTTTATTGCAATAGAGTAGCATGACTAATAAACATTGCGCACCTAATGAACGTGATGACGCGTGTCTAAAAGTGCGGAATAGTTTGATAAGACAGCCTACTAATTTGGACAAAATTTTAATTAATTCATAAAAAATAAATCAGGCAACCAATTAAGTCAAATTTAATGTCATATTGTATTGTCTTCATGTCTTGACCCACGTGCCAACGTTGAAATAATTCTGTTAGTTATATGCGTCCGAAGTTTCGCTCGGGTGTTATAATCTAGACAAACTGATGACAGACAGACGACTGACGAAAGAGGAAGTGAGTTAAATAAAAGCTTGTAAAAAGCTTGTAAAATGTAATATACGAGCAAGTTTAGTGGAGATCACTCACGCTTTACTGATCTTGTCTTCCAATGTTATGTTTAGTACACTCCTTGTACCGTTTGTACTTCCCAAAACAACCAAGTCTAAATTATTTTCTTTATTGCATTATTAGAAATTTTAATGAAATGACAGGTACATTTTTTAAAGTGCAGTTTAAAAACAATGGTAAACTAGAAACTAGAACAGTGACAGGTCAGATGTTCAACGTCTAAGTTTGGCTGCCTTAGCCAGTAAAGGAACGATGGTATCAATGTTGCGACCTGCAGAAAATATACAAAACATAAAACATATAATAAACTGCACGTTAAATTACAAATTCATTATTTTGAAATATTTTGAACTCACAAGAAAGGTATTGTTTTCAAAATGTAAAATAGATGGTATTAATAACTTAGCTGTAACAGAAACTCACGAGCATTCCTCGCCTGAACGCCACAGCCCAACTCGCCAAACTGTGGTGCAGCCGCCACATTCCACAGGCGGCTAACGAAACCGCCGGCCCGACTTCCGCATTGTTCTGTGGCTTTGTTGACCAGGCAACCGGAAAACTGATCCACCAATCTAAACACAGGAGTAGGGGGTGGGGGGGGGGTAGGAAATATTAGTATTTTAAAATACACATAATATTTTTTAATTTTTAAACATCTAGCTATTAACGTACATGAAAGAAGAAACTTTACCTACTTAAAGTGAAACACAAAAGTGGCTCAAAAATTGTTTGAGAGAAAGAAAAATCATTACTTCTAAGCACACAGAAGACCTCTTTTTTAAAAAAAATCATCCATTAATTAACGAATAGAAAGTAATAAAATTTTCTCATTATATTCAAATTATAAGTAAAAAATGTAATACTTTGAGTATTTGAAACGTTTAAATAACTAGTAACAGACCATATGAGAATCAACACTTACGGGCAAAAATTGACGGTCGATGGGTCTTGACCAGAGGTCATGGCAGAAATAAAGGCGAGTTGCATCTCATTGCCGAAACTGAGGGCACAGCCTTCAAAACTCTGAGTGAACTCAACTATTTTTAGCTCACTATTGGCACATTCCGAGTTGATCAGGAAAGAAACGTCTGAAGTAAAGAACATCACATTGGGTTTTAGACAGAAGCGGATTGACGATGTTAAATAGAACATCCCCCCCCCTTCCCCATCAATCCAAAATATGGGTGAAAAATTGAACAAAACGTATTACTAAAAACAGTTATTAATTTTTTACATATTGCATATTTATTGGCGGTTCTTGTGTGAATAAGGGGGCTAAGCCTACTACTCCTCCTCCTAAATAGAGCTTACTTTGATATATTTCTAGCAACTCAAGAAATGGAAAAAATATATCCTCCTTATGATTTCAGCACTGCCGACTGACAATAAATTGTTTGCACAAGCTTTCTTATAGAGATAGTTGGTTTTTTTAATAATGGAGAAGCTAAATCCTAAAGTCGCTTGTATTAAATAATAACGGTCGTTTTTCTGACAATTTACGTATAATCAGTGTTTTTCCAAAGTCCTATATTAAGTATATTAGCAAGCTTATTACTGCATTTTTTGAGTGCGTTTATCATCTTGATTGTTGAAAAACATGACAACACCTAATTATTGTTTAGCTAAAAAATTAATGAGTTTCACGTAATCAACACCTGACTCTAAAATATTTCTAGTTGATTTTTGGAATAACTCATTTTTGGAAAAACTATTTTTGGATTTATTAGCGTGAACCTACCATCTCTGCTTTCATCAGTGCACAGAAATTCAGCCACACCGACCTGGCTCTCGTAGCCGTTGAGTACTCCTTGATTGTCGCACTCGTCTCTGGCGTCCCTGAAGCAGCTACTGAACGTCTGGCTTTTCCTGGAAGTAGGAAGGTTCTTTTGGTGTAATCAGTCAACTGTACAGCATGCTCTCTATTCTGGTAGGTACTTTTTGCCTTACAGAAACACACGATATATCTGCTCATTCAAAACTGCTTTAAAATTAATCTAATGCTTGTATTTACTAAACTACTTTAAACAAATTTATGGTATTGTTGGTCAGGATGTGAAGTATATATAAGGTAAGAGTTTTTTTCTGGAATCTCTTAGGGGTGTGTGGACGGAGCCGCCGGCCCTCCCCCTCCCCGAAGAACGTCTACCGATCCCCCCCCCCCCTCCCAACAAAATATAATTTTTATAGAAAAAATATATACTTTTACCTGTGTCCGCCCCCCCCCCCCCTTCAGAAAATTGTGTCTCACCCCCCCCCCCCCACTTGTTGGCCATGTATTAGTAATCTATTAGCATACATTTTACTTCCCATTAAACCATCATCCTCATTAATAACAAAACATTGACCACTGCTGACCAAAAACTAAATAAATATTGGCAATGAGATCGACCAAATTAACGAAAGATTGAGAAATATCGGACAAGTATTGACCAATTACTGACCAAAAACTGACCTCCCCTGAACAAACATCAACAAGGATGATATAAATACGCTGCTTATAAGGCGTCACTATCACTAACAAAACACTGACAGGATAGTGACGAAATACTTAACGCCGCAGGCCAGTGGCGTAGCCAAGATCGTCTCAAGGGGGGGGGAGTTCCAATTTTTACCCGGGGACAAGCTTTCGATTTGCACCCCCCCCCCCTCAGACTTTAGATTTGCACCCCCCCCCCCCCTCAAACTTTCGATGTGCAACCCCCTCATACTTTATATATATATACCGAGGAGTCTATGGGGGGGGGGGTTATGACCCCCCTAACCCCCCCCCCCCTGCCTAAGCTACTGCCGCAGACTCAATATTGACCACTTATTGATTGAATTCCGAATCTGACCACTTACTGACAGAACTGTTCATAGAATGCAGCATTGCCGAAATCTTTGAAGTCTCCTGGGTCTAAGGTGTTCAGCGGGCTGATGCAGGTAAAAATCTTGCCACAGCTGCCGCTTCGTTTGATGGTGTTACATTCTGAAATGTGTTGGATGGACGACCAAAACAAAAAAATTAAGTTAAAAGATTTAACGTCAACATAAACATCTGCTACCTGCGATCTAGGGTTAATATTATGTAAAGATTTTTTTCTATTGATTATTATTGAACTAATTAGCCTATCCTCTATCTCAATGATCTGTTACAGTCGAGTCAAATGAATAATATATTAGCCTACCTATTCAGCTAGTCTATTGAGGAATTATAAATAAACTAGCAAAAAATCCCGTTGAAAGACAGGCAATAAAAAGAAAGAAAAAATACACCGCTTTATATTAGAAAAATAATAATTACTAAAATTGTTAATTACAAAATTTTAAAAAATACAGATTTCAGGTCCTTATTAAAGATGTAGGTTTATTTGGTGAAGTTTTAAATTATGACGTCCCAAGTTCGATGTGCTTGAGAAATAGACACGTATACCTGACCATGGCTAAAAACAGGCTCTGGTTAAATACCAACCACAGCTAAAGTACGTCAGTGTGTCATTGCAAAATCCCAGTTTAACTGAAAATGTCGTTTTTTTTCATAGAGCAATACAAAGTTGTGTGATCGTTGGGAACTAAACCTAATTTAGGAGTAAAATGTTTCCACTTTCCCATTCAATTTTGCTGCTATGATTAGATTGGAGTTTAAAATTTCTATCAGTCGATTATCATAACAAATTACTCGTTTAGTAAAAAGATTTTTCAATAATATTTTAGAACATTATATTTTTAAACTTACTAAATGTAATGGTATTTCTGAAGGTACTTATTCAATTATCTTAATCATTTGCATTATCGATAGTCTGCATTAACATAGGCTTCTTCTACATCTTAAAGTATATCTAACGCTCTTTATTCAATTAACTTGCATAATATAGCGCGATTCAAATAATGTTCAATATATGCAGTGGTTAATTACAGATGATCTGTATATCCTATTTTAATTAATTTTTAATTAAATATCCTGGAAGCTTATTAAGTTACAATTACTTATTTTAACTAATCATTAACTAACAAATTAAAGGTTAGCTAAAAATGGCAGACAGTTTTTAATTGAGTTTTTTTAAAAAGATGTTTTATTTAATAAATAATAGTCAATCTGCTTACCCACGACAGTGTAACAAAGCGACACAATCAACACGAATTTGAACATTCTGGAAAGCTGAAATTGTGAAATCTGACCAACTATCACAGCGTGAGCAACAAAGTGCCGCCTTGATCCCCCTATAAATAGGACTACAGTATGAATAAATTGGTATAATGTCACCCATTATAGTGTTGATTAGTGACCTAGTATTAAGTGCTTGGTAGAGTTCAAAATAACACCGGATCAGGGCGGAATATTTTACCAGGTACATTTGCGTTCGGAAAGGTTTCGTTTGAATCACTATGTTAGTGGACATGAAAGGGTGGGGGGGGGGGGAGATGGATTTAGAGCATTTCACCATTATACACGTATTCATGATGTAATTCGTGTAAGTCGTTGCAACACGTTAGCATGTCACCCCCCCTACGGTAACCATAACACATCTTCCCCCTCCCCTCAAAGTTGACATGCCACCCCCCTCACATTAACCCTTATAGCACCTCCCTCCCTCCTCACAGTTGGCATGTCACCCCACCTACGGTAACCCTAACACATCTCCCCCCCCCCCCTCCCTCACAGTTAGACTGTCACCCCACCCGATGTCAGCCTGACAACTCCCCAACAGTAAACATAACACAGCTCCGCCCCCGCAGTTAGTATGCATGCAACCCATCCACAGTAAACCATGACTAAACCCCCACATTTAACCCTCACACTGCTTCCGACATTAACCATGACACCCCGCCCACAGTAATCCTGACACCGACCCCCCCCCCCCTCCAGCTCTGTAGTAACTAATGACGTTAAAATTAATGACATCTTTTTCCCACGTCTCTCAGTATATCATTATAAATAATTTGATATGATATTTAAGTAAGTTTTCTCTTCAGTAGTTAGCTCTAATTGGTATTTAATTAACATACAGGGACGCACCGGATAATTCGACTGTTGGGTATGTCGCAATGGGCGAAATGAGGGGTATTTTTTTATGGAAAGAGGGCAGATATGTTATAATGTAAAATTGCAGATAGTTAATTATGTAACAGCGTAGAATTGTATTATATATATATATATATATATATATATATATATATATATATATATATATATATATATATATATATAGGCTACGTGTGTGTGTTTGTGTGAGTGTGTGTGTGTAATTATGTGAGTGTGTGTGTGTGTGTGTTTGTGTATGAGAGTGTGTGAGAGTGTGTGAGTGTGTGTGTGTGTGTTAGTGTGTGTGTGTTTGTGTGTGTGTGTGTGTGTGTGTGTGTGTGTGTGTTAAACACCTGGTTTATTTATGTACAAACAACACCTGCTCCTGATTTAATACAATCAACCAAACATAATTTAAAGGCTTACAACTACAACTGGACACAGTTTTGCTTTTTTTGATTGGTGGTATTTGAAATGTTTATACTTAAATGACTTTGCTTTAACATTTATTTTGGTGTTTTTTTATCGTGCAAATATTAAACAATTTTATTAATATATCGATTAATATATCAATTAATATATCGATGGAACCCCTACCTGGTTAACTTTTAATGTCGTGACTAGAGATTTGTTTCGAAATAAGCAATTAAAATCAGCTCAATTAAACGAATCTTTACTAAGCTATTGTTTAATTGGTCTTTAAGTAGTTTCAAAAGTGTCTAATAGTGTTTCTGTTTTAAAATAATGATAATGATAGTCTATCTTCCTGTAAAGTAGTTCAAGTGTATTGTATTTTCATCTTTCTTTACTACCAGAAACTTTCATATGTTGAGCTGTTTTTAAATGAAATAGATCTAATCCATCTCTTTTGGTTATTAACAAAACGTGTCAGATATTCTTTAGAATACAATCAAACTTTTAACAACCAGAAAGTTATATTTAAAAAAAATATGATATTGAAGATACTGGGATACTCTTTCTACTTTTAGCAAGTCCAATAATTGGCGTCTAAATAAAAACTTTTAATTAAAAAAAGACACTAACAATATAAATACAATATAAATACGTCAAGAAAACGTATTTTATTATTACGATACATTTAAATTGTTGATACATTAAAATGATAACCGCCTCGAAAATTTCAACAGGACAAACATCTTGATGTGAGTTTGTCCATTTCCCAGTCAGGTTTCAACATTTAAATGTCTCGAACTCTGGACTGTAGGTTATTTCCCACAGGTTGTACATTAAACTTCCAACTTGGTGACCACAAGTTTCGGTGTAGTTGTTTATCATACACGCCTTCATCTGATCCACCAACCTAGAGTCACAGAAAATTGACAAAAGTAGCTGCATTCAAAAGAATTGATTCAAAATGATATCTCTATGATACTTTACTGTGATAAGGCAAGAAACATGATTTTTTCGTTATTTAAATCTTAACTGTATTTACAGTAGTAGAAAAGTGTAAAATCTTTAGACACATTACAGAGGATATTATTTAAAATTTAATTATATTAAAGATATGGATAAAAAAAACTGGACTGAAATCTTTTGGCAAAATATAAAAAAGCGCCAACGGCGATGAATTGAACACACTTTTCATATCAACGAGGAACATCAACAGACAGGCATTAGGGGAGTATAAGGAAAGAGGAAAGTATGTAGGCCAATTAGGTCTCTAAAACAGATGAACTCTACTTCATCTGCACAAATGTGTCTTGGGCACGAACGCGAAATGATGATGATAATGATGATGATATGATGATGATGATGATGATGATGATATGATGATGATGATGATGATATGATGATGATGATGGTGATGGTGATGGTGATGGTGATGGTGATGATGATGATGATGATGATGATGATGATGATGATGATGATGATGATGAAGATGATGATGATGATGATGATGATGATGATGATGATGATGATGATGACGATGACGATGATGATGACGATGATGATTATGATGATGATGATGACGATGACGATGATGATGACGATGATGATTATGATGATGATGATGATGATGATGATGATGATGATGATGATGATGATGATGATTAGATTGGATTGTTTTATAATGTAAAATAATGTACTTACTGGCACCTGCTAAGAGACGAAACACCTTTAATTGTAGACTGCATCTGATTTTCGAAACTAGAATTACAACCATCTATACCACGTTCAACCTCTTGATACTTTGTCTTGTTGTATACACATTCGGACCCAGCCATCGTAATAATATCTGAATTAAAAGTCACTTTGTCACATTGAAATAGCCGAGACTAAAACGGTAATACAGGTGAAGGTTGAAAAATCAACAAAAGAGATTTATGGCTGGGATATTCAGCGGCAAAAATATGTAAATTAAACCTTAACGCTTTTTAAAATAGTATGTAGTCTATTAAAATTTATTGTGTTCGATTTGCTTGTGTGGGCATTTCAATATTACATTACCGTTTTTACAAAGGGACTTCTTTCCCTTAAATAATAGCAGCAATACTATCCTAATTTTACTTGCAATTAACAGCTTAACTGTGCAGTGCAAATTGGTTGAAAACAGTTATTATATGCAAAAGAAAGAATATCCATTATGTGAGATAATAATACTGGAGTTGATTTAAATCTGAGGTGGACGCGAGTAATTGTGAGTTAAGTCTGGCTGTTATGAAATAACTAAGTAAAAATAGTGTGTAAAAAAATTTATAATTTTTTAAAAATTTAGATTCAGTAAAATAAATGATAACTGTTGTATCAATTTTTTTTATTACTAATATTCTTTTTAAGCAATTACTGAAACAGCCAAACTTATTATATTTTAAATCCAAAAAAGAAAAGCAGGCTGAAATCGGAGTCAACCATCTATATGCCGCTCAACAAATTGATAGGTAATACTTCATTTTGTTGGAGTTAATCTCTTAAATCACTTAAATTAAGAACGAAGAAGAAGAAGAAGTCAGAAATGACTTTACCGACTTTATCTGCGGTGGAGCACAAGTATTCGGAAGTTAGGAATCTTGCTTTTACAACATTCGCAACTGTTTCGTTATCGCATTTTTCCGTTACTGCTTTGTAGCAAGTTGTAAAGTTAGAAGTTTTCCTGGAAAATGAAAAGGTTTATTTATAGAAAACATTTATAACGCTTTTAATTTTTTTAAATTATTTTAAAACACACTCAATGCTTGACATAGGCTAAATTAAGAGGCTTTCTACTTTTAAAATTAACTTTAAAATTAATTCAATCTTAACCCTTCGCCAAACAAAGCCAACATATGTGAAGTAATGTGGTCGAATTATAGGGCACACGATGGCAGTGTTTCTTTCAGACCAGACTTTTTTCTCCTGGAGTGGGGGGGGGGGGGGGGGGGGGAAGGGGCGGGGTGGAGGGAGATATTGAAAACTTTCGGGGGGGGGATTGTATTTACCGATAGGGGGAGGGGCAGACACTGGTAAAAATTATATGTTCTATATAAATTATATTTCGCTCAGGTGGGGGGTGGGCGGTAGACGTGCTTCGGAGGTGACCCCCCCCCCCCCCCCCGCAGAAATGTCTGAAATAAACACTGCATGACAGTTAATTAAAAATTAATCATGAATATGTTTATTAGTTTATATATGTCTTGAGTTGTCATCATCATACGACCTAAATAATGACCCGAACGTCCCTGAGTCCACCCAGCTCTGAAGGGTACTTAACCCACGTGAGGTAAAGTAAAGGCTGCTGGGCAAAGTACTGACCACACCTTCCCTTCATATCCCGAGGTCAAGAAACATGAACTCTACCGCATATGCTAAATGTATCGCTAGGTCTAATGAGGAATCTTTCCTTTTTTTTTCTCTTTATAATTCAGAACAACATTACAGGCCACTTACTGACAAAACAGATCGTAAGTTGCTTCATCCCTAATCCAACGTAAGCAACCCGGATCAATCTCGTCACAGTCCATCAAACTATCGCACGCCTTTTTGTGTTTGATGACTCCACAGTCTGGAAATTAAATCTGATTGAGCATCACTTGCGTGAAAACAATTCGAGTGCTGACATAAGGACCTAAATATGCATGTATATGTATGTCTATAAAATATTGTGTGTCTCCAGGAGTTTAGTTGAAACACAAGTCCATCATTCCCCAGACAACTGAGACATACTGTGCTCCCAACAAGTCTTCTACACTGGAAACACAAGTCTAACATCCCCCCCCCCCCCCCACATTACCGTAAAGTCTTCTACCCTGGACTCGATTTGCTCAATAAATGTTGAACACTTTTAGTACGGTAAAGCATAATTTGATTAAATTAGGAGAAAATATTGTTGGAGTCTTCTCGCGAATATAATGTTTATTTCACAACCATCACAGAACGTATGAAATATTTTAATTTAAGGTCATCAAATCAGGTGGTCGGGTGTAATGTTTGCTTACAACATAACGCAGCCTAAATAATCAGAGATAACGCGTTTATTTTGTTTGTTGTGAAGTTAAACTAACAATTGTAATAAATATTAGTGACGAAGATGAATAATTCAATTCTCTTTTTTTTAAGTTAACAAATGTTTTTTTTTTCTAAATTACTGACCTGCGGCTATGTAACAGATAGTGAAAACCAAAAGAACTTTGAACATTTTGTTAACATAAGTCAGCAAAATCTGGCTAGGTGTAACTTGTTGTGCAAGCTACGCTTTCTTGTCCTATTTAATAAGGTTTAGGCAACTCTTAGACATGCGCAATAGGGGCCGTCAGACCACACAACCAATGGTCGACTTAAACTTAAGGCAGACACAGGAAGACATCTATAGAAGAAACACAAGACGAATACCGTGAAATACTCGTTGGTAGCCTGTAGCTCAGCTAAAATAATAAAAGAGGATGACGGTGTAGAGTGTAGAAGTTGAAAGTGCTTAATAATTAATCCAGCTCGCTTAAGATAATTACTTACCCTAAAGGGTATACAATTCTCTTAACATGACACCGAATATGGAGACATGGTTTACATCTTCAAAAGTAGGAATAATTAAAATAACCAATTAAAAGGGTTCCGTAAACAATTATCTTAGGACTGTGGAGCTCAGACAAAATATCCCAGACAAAATATCTCAGGACAAATGATCTCAAACACAAGTGATCTCATGGGCAAAAGATATCATTGACAAGTATTGTCAGATAAAACATCGCCGAAAAAATATTGCAGACAAAATGTCTCTACGCGATATATCTTCGGTATTTAGGAATATCGAAAGTGGAAAGCTGCTTTTTATTAACTTTTGTTTACCTGTTATAATTGTGAGATAGACTAAGATGAATTCATAAAATTTAGCAATCTATCAAAGGACAAATTAAACTTAATATTTATTTTGTTAATAGCATTTGATTATAAAAATTATTTTTTAACCTGATTTTTCATTGAAAATTTTATAAGACATAAAATGATTTAAAATTGAATTATATCAAATTATTGTTCAAAAAACGTGAATATTTTTTTTTCAAAAATACATTAGGTTTTGTAGCGTATAACCTTTGTTTTTATTGCATTATCAACACATGATTATAGTTGTACTAGCTGCATCCCGTGCTCCGCCACGGTAAATCTTTTTTTAAATGTACCAACTTGGGAACAGAACAAAACTAAACACAACACAAATGAACGCAAAAAAACAAACGAAAAAACAAACATAACACTCATAACATAAACACAATTTAAATGCAATCATAAAGGCATATTGCTCACAGTCTAGCCCGTAGCGCCAAATCGGGCCCTTTCCGAGCGCCGCCGAACGCGTCTGACACAGTGAATGACTATAAAACAGAGGCGTAGCGACCCTTTCCGGCGCCCGGGGAAAAACTTTCGATTAGACTCCCCCCCCCCCCTCAAACTTACGATTTGCACCCCCTCTCCTCAAAATTTCAATTTCCACCCCACCCCCTTAAACTTTCGATTTTCACCCCCACCCCCTCGTTCAGACTTTCGATTTGCACAACTTTTGATTTGAAATTGTCCCCGCTCAAACTGTTGATTTGCACCCCCCTCAAACTTTCGATTTGCACCCTCTCACCGCCCTCAAACTTTCGATTTCCACCCCCCCCCCCCGCAATTTTTTTCCAACCCACTTTGGCGCCCCCTTAGGTCGGAAACCGGGGACATATCCCCCCCCCCCCTCTACGCCTCTCCTATAAAACCCCCAGCAGTATTTAAAATATCCGTGTTTTACCTATCATATTATATCACTTTATCAATTCACGCATTTTTTTCCCCAGTGCATTAAATTTTAAAAATTTACAATAGAGTTTCATAACTAAAACCATTGATGACGTGATGACGCGTCTATAATAGTGCTTAATAGTTGATTAAAAATTATAAGTAGTAAACATTACATTCAGTGAATAAAATAAATAAAAGATAGCCTTTTATCAATCAATGCTAATTATAATATTCCAACAATAATGTACTCTTACACGTCTGCATAATTTGCATTCACATTTTGCTGATTATATTATTCCAGCAATTATTCCATCTTGCAGATTCTGCATTCACATTTTTAGTGTGAGTTCAATTTATTTTTAAAATACCTCCCTTGGCAAAATTACTAAACAGTTTAATTAGATTTTTCTAACCTACAGTTATTATGTTATTAAAATGTATCAACTTTTTCTAGGAATATTAACGAAAACAATATTTGACATTGATTCTTTTAATATGTTTTAGCAATGTGCGTGTATTTAATATTCTCTTTACGTTATGCAAAATTGTACAAACAGTGGAAATTATAAAATAGCTCTATGTCGTTATATAAACAAACCCAACTCTTCTACTTATAATAAGACACTGCGGTGCACTGAAAAGCACAGCATGGTGCGTAGTTTACTTTTATAGTCCCAAAATCTATAGCGATGACGGACAGACACAGCCCGCTTATATTATAGATTGTTCATGATTCAACCTGTGTCTCAGTTACCTGTCTCCACGTGTGGCCCAGTCAACTGTTTCAACCTGTGGCCCAGTCACCTGTCTCCACGTGTGGCCCAGATACCTGTCTCTAGGTGTGGCCCAGACACCTGTCTCCACGTGTGTCCCAGTCACCTGTCTCTAGGTGTGGCCCAGACACCTGTCTACGCAGTCACCTGTGTGCTAGTGATATTAAGGAAAATAATTATCCATTTGTCTTTTCCCCAAGGGGACATAAACAAACCAGGATTATTTGACAAAAAATTATCGAGTATTTTCTCTTGGTAAGATAATCGCTTATCAGGGTTTTATTATACAAACATTTTTTTAATCCGTATCAATTTTATATTCCTTGATCAAATTTTTTTTTAAAGTTACCAAATTGTATTTTAAAATGAAAAAAAAAATTCTGCCAAAATTCAGTATAATAATCAATATTAAAAAATAAATACAAACGTTTGACGTCACATCTTCTTTAACCCCCCCCCCCCCCCCTCCCTCACTCGTCACACCTCATCACTAAAGTACGGACCCCTCACCTGCGGGTTGTGTTGTGGTTTATGCATGACACCTTAGGACGTTTTAGTTACAGGAAAGCTAAGGCAAGATTGTAGATACAAGTAGAAAAATCTGTATAATAACAGGCGTTATCTTGAACTAAAAATTATTTTAAAGTTTATTGTTTTAGATATGATAATAAAAATAAAAAAGCTGGGCTTACAAGAATAATGAAACGAGTTCAGATGAGTCAATCGACTTCTTTTTTACTTTCTCGTATACAGAGTAGGCCTATAGAGAAAGTATTGTAATCGTGCACAAAAATCAGATGGAATTTTGACAGTATTCACCGCTTTACACATCAGTCCTTCATCACACCCTAAGTATAGAGGACCTATTTTAATCGGACAAAAATTATAAATCCAGATATATCAATATTTTGGCGTTGTATGCGTAATCCATTGCTATTCTGTCCGTATGTGTGTGTGTATGTGTGTGTGTGTGTGCGTGCGTGCGTGCGCGTGTGTGTGTGTGTGTGTGTGTGTATTTGTGTAAACACGATAACTTGAGTCCAGTTACAGTTAGGTTGATGAAATTTCATATATAAATATTATATCCGATTTGTAGTTCTGTATCAACTTTTCAGCGATTTCCGATTACCAGAAGTGGAACTTATTCTACTTTAAATTTCTTAAAAGCTTATAACTTGAGTACTGTTTCGGATATTTTAAAGTACTAATAATATTCCGCACTATTATACACATTTTGTTTGGCGTTCACTTGGTGCGCAATTCTTTTTTCTACGCGATTTTATTCTATTTTAAAAAGTTTAAGTAATAAAAATGGATTAACAATAATCTCTATATCCCGAGTTGCCATTCCCCTTAGTGTTATATAAGAATATTCAAGAGAGTTTAGGGGAAATCACTCCTGGTTAATCTACTATTAAGCTCAACATGAAAAAATTTTAAAATTACAACAAAAAATTTTTTTTTAACAATATTGTAAATTCAGTGAAATTTATTTTTTAATATTTTTAAAGGATGTCCTCTTCTTCCAGTTGCACCAACGAATATTAGAGCCAGATTAATAGGATAAAAGACTCCAGTCTGCCCGTGTGTTACCAGCGTATCCCAAGCCTGTCGTCAACATTCGCGTGATCGGAGAACCAGACACAGTTCAGACAGCGCAAGTGTTGCTATATAAAGAACTATTTTCCACGATATTATATGCACATTATGTTTATTTGGTGTGCTCTTATTTTTACTGATCTATATATATATATATATATATATATATATATATATATATATATATATATATATATATATATATATATATATATATATATGAAGAGTTGATTTTCAAAACGCGATAAGCGCCATTTTTGAAAAAAATGAGATAAGGTGCCCATATTGTAAAGCTACTCAGTTACTATTAGGAAAACTTAATTTTAATCTTCACGGCGCAAAATTTTCATTTTATTTCTATTTTTGAAAAAAACGTTTGGTTTCAAAACGCGGCATTGTCGATTTTATTTAGCGTCAAAATGCGGTATCGATTCGGACCAATCCGGGTAAATATTACTATTTATCTGCGCATGCGCATTAAGCATCTCTAAGTGAAACAATTGTTAAAATGGCGGACTTTGATGGTCACGACGAAAGTGTTGTACTGACATTTAAGTCCAGAAAAAAGAAGAGGTCATGCACAGAAAGAGAAAAAGAAAAGATCTTTCGTCATTCAGGAGAAGGAATGATCCCGTCCATTTCGTGTAATCATATTAAAGGATTCTGCAAGGTAAGTTGTAGATAAAACTGTAACTTATCTAACACTAGGCTTTTTTTTTAAACACGGATACATAGTAGTAGTAGGTTGAATTTTGGATTTTTAAAAATAAAATATTCTGTTATTTCAAATACACCATTAAGTTCCTTACCCCTTAAGAGAACATTTGACACCACATTTAAATATCTAGCTTACTCGGTTGACGAGAAAAGAGAGAATTTGAAAATTAATCAAAATTGAAAATGAATGACAAAACAGCGTTCTTGGCATAACATGACGTCGTCGACTTGTGTACACGAGCTTTTAATTCCCGCCATGGTAATTGCGTCAGCTTAGGTAATTTACTCACCGGAAAATAACAAAAAGCAACTGGTTGATAATAAAACTAGATCTAGTTATTTTATTATTTTTTAAATTCTACTCTACATGTTATTCATACCATTTTATGAAGTAATGAACACCTGCATAAATCAAATGACCATAATAAATATTTTTATTTCAAATTCTAATTTTAAATAATAAATAATAAATATGCTTAAAATAATAAGATAGTATCAGTTATGATCGTTTATAAATACAAATACATTTTACACTCAATTCACATTATATTGAGTCAACAGTGTGGCAGCTGAGGTTCATACATGGTATATTTTTTTTTTACATTACAATTTTTTTTCATCTTGAAAACATGACGAATGTGATTTTTTTTAAAAAAATCTCCAAACATCGTCACTCGCGTGATTGCTTGCTTACGTTTACTATCCTGTGGATGAAAAATCCCACCACGGTCGCGGGTCACCGTGAGTTCAGCAGGCCTATAGTACACGTCATAGCATGAACACGCGTACACGAGATGGTCGGTGTCTTCACTTCTCTCTCTTTCCCCCCCCCCCCCCCTCCCTCTAGCCAATTGAAAAACAGACCTACTTCCCTACTTCTGGTCATTTTTTTTTAAAGTTCGGTAATTTTTTTTTTTTAAGTTCACATATCAGGCATGCAAGACAGCCAGCCAGTGGCGTAGCGAGGTCGGGTGTCACCCGGTGCGGCACTTAATGGTGTCAGCCCCCCCCCCCCCCAAGGCGTAGCGACTCTTCCCGGGGACAAACTTTCAAATTTTCGATTTGCACCCCCCCCCCTTAAGTTTTCGATTTGCACCCCCCCCCTCAAACTTTCGATTTGCACCCACCCCCTCAAACTTTCGATTTGCACCCCCCCCCCCCTGCAGCCAGCTGTATTAAAAAATATTTTTTAAACTAGATCTACGTCTAGCTTAAAAAAATAAATAAACGCTTAAAATGCCCGTAAACAGATTATTTAGCGCAAAAAAAAAAAGGCCGCTGAACGAGCATTTTTTTAAATACGCAGCAATGAAAAGGGCTAACGGCCGATCAATTAAGTCTAAAAAACGCCCGTAATTAGGCCTAGCTCTGAAAAAGGCCACTGAACGAGCATCACTAATTATATAAACGAATAGGCCACGCAGCGTTGACGAGGTTAACCACCGGTCACGAATTAAATTCAATGCAGCTACTGTCGGCCCACAGTGAAGAAAAAATCAATATACTAATAAAATTACTAATACAAAAATAATTTCCATAATTTTACTTTTTCTGCACACGCTACAATTGAATTATAATTAAAATACTAGACTTAACAGTTCATTCCGCAAAAAACAAAAACGAGTTGTTTCTGTGAGGTAACTAGCGTAACAATGACGTCACGATAGTAAACAAAGCGGACAGAAATGTCTGCATGGGTACCTCATATGGAAATTCGATATAAAATAGGCGAATCAACATAACTGTAATTACTCATTATAAATATCTCAATTATATATTACTACTTCTGTGCCGGGGGGTTTCGACCGAGTGCTGGGCCGTTTAAAGCGACAGTTCAGTTTTTCCCAAGAGTACTCGACAAGAATAGCATGTATTAATTAAAACCACATATCTGGCTATTTTTTCGGCCATTTTCAGGCATGGCGTCCATTTATATAGCATGTCTCATTAAAATAATGATGAGAATTAGCGAGATTAGCAGTTTTTTCATTTGTCGTGTATAGGACCCCTAAAATAAACGTAAAAACCGTCAGAAAACGACGCGTGACGTTTCAGGGTCAGAGGTCAATCCAGCCATCTAAGCAATGAGAAAATCTAATACATAGATCTAGTATTACTAGAATTTAGATATCTAGCTTGTTCTTTTAATTGGTGAGTGAAGTTTTGAATGTAAGTGTATGAATACCAGTAGGTCTAGGCTACTGTCAGCTCTAGCTTAACATTCCAAAAGTAGGGAGAGATTCTAGATCTAATCTAGTCTAGATTATCTACTCTACTTGTCTACTACATATTCTAGATCTAGTATCTAGATCTAGGCCTACTATTTTTACTAGCTAGACGAAAGTTTTAACAATTCTAGTCAATATTATATCTAAACTTCGATTTATCATCTAGGTTGTATGTCCTCGTTTGTCTAGTCTAGCAATAACTTTAAGCAAGGCAAGGGGCTAGCCCTAGCTACTAGATCTAACTAGTAGTATAATTTTTAATATAAAATTAAATCTTTTATTGTAGCAAAACATACATTTGTATTATTTATTTCAGGCTCAAGATATAACACCTGATGACCTGGTGAAATGCCATGCAGATTTTTACAGCAAACTGGACAAAGTGTCACAAGATGCTGCTATAGTAGCTTTGCTTGATGCGGACAACACGAAAAGAGTGAATGATCAGAGGAAAAAAACAAGACACATGACGATCAAATACTTTCTTTGTAGTGATGGAAACAAGCTGCAAGTTTGCCAGTCTTCTTTTTGTTCAGCATTGTGTACGTAAATAGCTTTACCTTCAGTTTGCTATATTGGATTTGCTCGTACTGCAGTTACTGTCAATAAAAAACTGACTATTGTCCAGAGGTTTATCCGATTATGGAAATTCTCTTTTTTCAATGTTACAGTGGAATTATCTTAATAATACATGGTTAATATATCCACTTTTTTAGGGAAAAACTGGGATTCATTCAACACAAAGGAGCCTGGAAAAAAGAACTGTGTAAAGGTGGCTAAAAAGACAGATGTTCTTTGTGTTCTCGAAGCCGTAGGAGTGGAGGAGAGAATAAAGATTTCTTATGAGGCACTGCTATGTGATGCTACTGAGGATGTTGCTCATTCTAACTCTGATGTAGATAGTGCCTAGTTTGTCTGAGTTATTTATTTTTTCTTGCTTCACTCATTTTTGTTTTCAACCTTTTTTTTTTTATTTCATACTATTTCTTTTACATTTTATGATTGTAGTATAAACTAATAAACTTTTTTCTTCTTTTAAAACTATTTTATGTTGACTTTTTTAGTTCTTTAGACTTTGTTAACACAGTTCAACAGTAGAAACGACAAGCTGTACTCTTCAAATTAAAGTCTCTCGTTAGAGACTTGCATCATTTTGAAAATGGTTCAAATAACTGAAATTACTCAATAAAAACACTTTATAGTAACAGAAAAACATGGTACAATTGTAGTAAGATGGTAACACTGGGAATATAAGTGGGTTTTAATAAAATAATAAACTAAAATATTGGACATTAGATGTATTATCAGAAAAAAAATGGATATACAGCGTTTTGTAGCTTAAAAAAAGCTGGATATACCTCATTTTGCAACTAAACGCAAATTTTGGGACAAAAAAAAAGCATCTTTTTATGCAGGTACATTTCAAAAACCATTCTAGTCCTATTTCTATGAGGGTTATGAACCTAAATTGATAAACAGTTTTAGCAAATTGTACAATGGCTTCGTGTAGGAGAAAAGTGCGATTTTCTCGAAACCCAAATTTTGGATATATTGCATTTTGAAAATCAACTCTTCATATATATATATATATATATATATTCCTCTACCTCGCCCAACCATGCGGGACACCACCACCACTACGTGCGCACGCCGAGTCGCCCCTCCCACGCTCTCCAAGCATGTTGCTACAACCCCCACCCCCACCAGTCTGGTGAGCTGTGGTTCACGCCAAATGTTTACAATCGCAGAGCCTGGTCGAATTAGTGACGGCTATAAGGGGCAGATAATTTAGCTTATGATTTGAAACTAAGGGGAGGTAAGAAGTTCTGGTTTATCTTTTCATTGTCGTCTGTCATGTGACCTCACGAACGGCGAGTGGGTCGTTAGGTTGTATTGTTTTAGGGAAGGTATATCATTACGTTATTGGCCCATAAAGCATCTTACTGCTAATATATATTTCATAACTGCCTATTTAAAGTATATCCACTGGCATTACAAGGTGATGGAGAGGGTCAGTCCGCACCGGGAAGCACAGTATAGGGGGTGACACCACGACAAAAAATTTACTTGTCAAAACTTTTTGTTATCAGTTAAAATGACAAAACATTAGGGGGATATGTGTGACACCAAAAAGACAATGCAATGTTGTTGGAGGGTGTGACACACACAGAAGTGGCACCGGCTGACACTCGGCCTGGTGATTTGTGTTACTTGTTTAAGTCTCCGTAGTTTACACTAACCAAAATTAAATTTTGATAATGATGAAGTGTACTTCATGATGTATAAATTAATGTGCTGTATAGATGTAAGCTTTATATTATCAATTTGTGATTTTATAGCAAATAACAAAATTAACACCAATTTGTTTTTTTTTTAATGAATACACAATTTTAATGACCAGGCGGATTGAAGAAATGTTTCAACAGATTGATGACGTATAAATCAGTAACTTTATAACAGTGCCAGATCAGATGTTCAACGCCTTAGTTTGGCTGCCTTAGCTAGCAGTGGAACAATGGTCTCAATGTTGCGACCTTGTGAATATAATGAACAATTATTGTAAATAAATACCAAACATTTTAAAGCAAAATTTAACGGCAAATGATTTCAAAAACGTAAAAGCTATAAATTTGTTATTTTGTTTCAAAGATGATTTGACTTTTCTACAAATGTCACAAAAAACAAGCATGCACTGAAAATATTTTTTTTTCAAACAAAGCTCACGGGCATTCCTGGCCTGGTTGCTACAACCGAACTGTTCAAAGGAAGGTCCAGTCGCCACATTCCACATGCGGCTGAGGAAACCTCCAACACTGCTGCCACAGCTCTCTGTACCTTTGTTCACCACACAAGCATTTAGCTGATTCACGAATCTAGAACATAAAAGTTGGAAAAATTAATAGGTGGTGAACATTACTAACACTTTCTTTAAAAGGCCTAGTCAATAATTTTGTTAAATATCAAACAAGATTATGAAAGAAGTATTCTATTTCTAGCTTTTGTAAGGGTATTTAGATTCTATGATAAACACAACTGCGTATTTTGTTTTAAGATAAGGTTAATTAAAACTAAATTACGGGCAAAAGTTGACGGCCGAAGCATCTTGACCAGACAACATTACAGACATGAAGGCGAACTGCAGCTCATTTTGGAAGCTCATCATACAGCCTTCCATGGCCTGTTGGACTTCTATCTTCTTAAGTTCGTTCTTGGTGCACTCAGAGTCAGCCAAGGCAGAAATATCTGAATTGTGAACAACCAATAATATATTTCTTATAATGTGGGTGTTTGTTAAGACAGAAGAATGTGCATTTGAGAAAATGAAAATGATATAAAAATCAGCCACGATGAAGATTAATTGAACTCTTTACGTTATAGTTCTACAGGGCAAAATTTTATAAGTAAAATTTAAAAAAAACCTCGAATTTAAAAAATATATCAAAATATATCAATTAGATCCTGCTGTCAACAGAAGAAAAATATCCTACCGTTTTTGGCTTCATCTGAGCATAAGAAATCAGCCACGTTAATCTGACCCCGTAGGCCTTTCTTTAGCTCTTCGTTTTCGCATTCGTCTTCAGCTTCCTCATAACAGGAGCTAAAGGCTGTGGCTTTCCTGGAAAGATATAGCGTAATTTGTATCAGTGGCGTAGCTAGGGGAGGGCGGGTGGGGCGATCGTCCCGGGCGCCGACCCTAATTGGACGCCAAAAGGGCTAGAAAATAAGTTAAAAGCTCATTTTAAGCACAATTATACACAGTCAGAATTAAGAAAGTAATCAGTTACATTGCGTTACTCACTGATTTAACTGTTTTCTACTTCATTTGTGTTGCACCATAAGAAAAAACCTTTACGGTATAGCCTGATGAAAAGTCTCCCCAACCTTTTCAATTAAAGGGGTGGGGGCGCTTTTTTACAAACTTATAAATTTATAAATGGGTAGTGCGCCCCAGGCGCCAGAATAGGTCGCTACGTCTCTGATTTGTATTCGTAAATACTCTTTGACATAATTGAAAAAAATAAATAATGATCTATAACAAGAAAACAGATCTACGCTGAACAAATCTAGATTTCAAACTTTTACACCACTACAAAATTAAAAAATTAAAAAATTGGGAGTGAGTTTCCCTAAACTTCCTCGTATATTCGTATGTTTCTGTAAGTGATTGTACTTCCAGTAGAAATAGAGGATTTTGTGAAAAAATCGCTCGTAACACATACAAGCGAAATGATACTTGAATATGCTTCATGCGCATATGACATAAAATATCAAATTATGAACGTGGTGTTTTAGACATCGGAATTACTCTAAAGTTGACATGAAAACTATACCTAAAAATAAAAACGTGTTAACTTTACTGAAACGGTACTCAAGTTATTATGTTTACAGACACACACACAGACATACATACAAAATTAAAAATCAATTTTTTAATACTTAGTGAGACTTAAGAAAATATAAATTTCTTTTTTTTTTTTTTGCATGATTACACCATCCGAATACGAGAAAGTAGGGAGGTGTAAAACGGCGTACACTTTAAAAATCAAATTTCATTTTTTGCACGCAGTAGCGTAGCGAGGGGGGGACATATGTCCCCGGGCGCCGACCTTAGGGGGCGCCAAAATGGGTTGGAAAAATAAATTAAAAGGTTGAGGGGGGTGCAAATCAAAAGGTTTGAGGGGGGGTGCAAATGGAAATCTCAAGGGGGGGGTGCAAATCGAAAGTTTGAGGGGGGTGCAAATGGAAATCTCAAAGGGGGGGGGGGTGCAAATCGAAAGTTTGAGGGTGGGGTGCAAATCAAAATCTCGAGGGGGGGTTGCAAATCGAAAAGTTTGTCCCCGGGTGCCGGGAAGGGTCGCTACGCCTCTGTTTGCACGTCAACAATACTTCCTCTACCCCCAGCATAAGAGAAAGTCATCATGTGTTACTTACCGACAAAACTGGTCGTATTTTGCCTCATCGCTGAGCTGGTCGACATTGTGTGGTCCCACATTCTCCAGAGGGCTGGCACAGGCTAGGACATGATCACAGCCGCCACTTCGTTTGATGTGACCGCATTCTAGAGCATAAGTGGGGGGAGGGGGTGATAAAATCACTGAACCAGAAACATACAAGAGCAGAGCACTATGTGTCTACTCAAATAGAAGTTTTGGCTAAATAAACCGAAAGACATATTTTAATCTCCAATAACTCCTCTCAGTGATACATCAAAAGTGTTTATTTGTTGTAATTTAAACTTCGAAATATTTGTTTCACATTTTTTTTAACATTATACTGCCTGCTATTTTCCTGCAAGTACGAATCACACGATCATATAAACATCTTTCAACTGTTCAACGATTGCGGTTGTTGTATTTGAAGAACCTTCTTTATTATATATAACAAACCGACCCGTGGCGTAGCATCCGCCGCAATTTAGTTGTTTTATTTTCTACTTTTCAGTAATTCATAATTTATGCTGAAAATATCTATATATATAATTCTCTTCTGGGAGCCGTTAGAAAACAAGCTGCAAGCGCGCCTTACAGTCCCCTCTCTTCCTCTCTATCGCTACCACCCCCACCCCCTTACGTGGTCTGGTGAGCTGTGGTTCACGCTGTTTTCATTTTACAATCATAGAGACGGGTTAGGGGCAGATAATTTAGTTTGAAACGATTTTAAACTTAGAGGAGGTAACTAAGAGGAGGCTGCTCTCACGTGGGGGGGGGGGGGGTTTAGTGTTTTTAAGCAAATATTTTCAGTGGCAGCATTGGTACTGTCGAATCAGAGGCGTATCCAGGTTTTCGTTGTAGGGGAAGCGAAAAGAGCAAAAAAAGGCGCCGAATTTTTAACACGTCCTATATACGTGTATTATATATATATATATATATATATATATATATATATATATATATATATATATATATATATATATATATATATATATATATATATATATATATATATATATATATATATATATATATATATATATATATATATATATATATACTAGCTGTATGTCATTACTTCGCTATGATGTAAATTAAATTGAAAGTAGCACTGTGAAGAAATAAGAAAAAAACACACAATGTAGGCCGACAAAACAAAAATTGTATCAATCTAAACAAAAAAAAATTAAATATACACACACTGCAACCAAAAACAATGAACGTAACACAATCTGTTTTGTAATCCTTGTAAAAAAAAAATTCTTACATAATAATTCCTGGGAAATTATTTAAGACAAGTGACATAGGGGAAATAATCACTCTCTTAATATAAATATGTATATATCTACACATTTAAATATAAATGTCAAAACAAATAAATAATTACTTAAGAATACAATGAAATTGGTTAACATTATTCGCGTTTACAAAATGTTTTTTTTCTATAATCAACATTTAATATATCGTCATCATAAATGCTAAAGTATTACAGCATAATGAAAGTTTTTAAAATCAGAGTTGGTATAAAACCACGCTTTTCGATCTAAGAGAATAACATTTGGATTGACAGCCTACATTTAACTAATTCTCGGTCTTTTAGTTCAGATCATATATTTTTAATTAACTACTGCATCTTTGTGTTCTTTAAAGATCATTTTTTAACATAGTGATAGGTATGGGTTAGATCACTGTATTGACCACACACCTTTTTACTGGTAATTGCAAAAACAATATTCACAGAGTTTTACGTTTAAAAAGCTAATTTTCTTGCGGCATGGTACTTTGGTACATAATTCACCACTATCCGGTCACTTTAGGTCAATTATCCAACCCAGTGTATACCTAGGTGTGACATTAATGTCGCTCTACACAATTGTGGTGGTGATGTGTGTGTGGGGGGGGGGGGGGATAACCAACTCAGAGTGAACATAGCGTCAGTTTTTAGATGACTGTTCTAAACATACATATATATTACACAAATATATATATATATATATATATATATATATATATATATATATATATATATATATATATATATATATATATATATATATATATATATATATATATATATATATATATATAACAGAAATAGATTAAATAAGTAGCAGTGGTATTATGACAATATTTTTTTACAGAGGGGTCCATGGGGAGGGGGGGGGGTGTAACTGTTTCATATAATTTGTAATCGTAATCACTATCGCCAAAACTGTAAGAATACTACTACTTCATCATGATGACGCTGTTGATCTTGTTAAAATTTCCCTACCACTACGCAGTTTGCTCAAAGTAAATTTAAATAGAGGTACCACATCAGTTGTATTTGTTTCTGTATTGTAATTTTTTTTTAAATTAATCACACGATTCAAACTGCATATATAAAGTAATTATGTGTGAAGTTTTATGTATAACATTTTCTAATTCAATTATTCTTAAGCAAATACATTATACAGTTGCCTTAAACTTAACACCCCTCTTGCCAAGTGGTACTACCCGTTGAGGTTTTTTAAACATTGCAATGCATCATAATGGTTATTTTTAGAATGGCAAACTGATGCAGCTGTTAATACGTGTTGTAAACGTAGACACTACTAGACTAGTTCAATAATGCTTAATTGCTGCACGACAATAAATCTTGTGATTTACATAGATGTGCCGACCAAAAAAATTTTTGTAACAAATATCATTGTTTAAAACTTTGAGTTTAAAAGTTTCCAAAAAGGCGCCACTTTGCTGAAAATGGCCAGAGGGGGAGCGGCTGCTCCCCCCCCCCCCCCCCCCCCTGCGAACGTTACTGTGTCGAATTCACAAATTATAAATTACTGAAAAGTAAAAGAAAAAAAAAAAACTAAATAGCGGCGTATGATACGCAGCGGGTCGGCTCGTTTGCTTTAAAACACTATCAGTAGCTCCCGTGAAAGCAACCATCCGTGACAATAGTTAACAGACGACAATGAAAAGATCAAGCAGAACTTGTTAACTCATTTATGTTTCAAATCGTTTAAAAGCTAAATTATCTGCCCCTAAGAGGCCTCACCAATTTGACCCGTCTCTACGATTGTAAATATTCGGCGTGAACCACAGCTCTCCAGACTGATGGGGATGGGGATGGTAGTGATATGGTTTTTTGCGCATGCCTGGAGAGCAAGGGAGGAGGCAGGTCGGCGTGCATACGTGGTGGTGGTGTCCCGCATGGTCCAACGTAAAGAATTATATATATATATATATATATATATATATATATATATATATATATATATATATATATATATATATATTAGCATAATATACTAGTGTCAGACGGTGCATTAAGCGTCTAGTTTAAAATACATGACAAGATTAATGTATCATGTTTCCCTTGTTTTATATAGATTTACGATTTTTTAATCAAGTTAAGAAATAATGGATACAGTTGTTGTTTTTTTCTGCTTACATACGCACAAACCTTGTGAACTATAGAAGCTTTACAGATCATAGGGGGCAAATACATTTATTTAGTAGTCAAACTTATTAGCATCCATATGATTCCAATTTAGAAATTGTAACCGTACATATAAAAATACATCGCACTTTCATTTTTTTAAATAAATTGATTAAGTCTTCAACGGGGCATATATCAAGTTTGTAGTTTAGGATAGTTCTGTTTATTTGCGTATATGTTATGCCCTTTAAAATATTTAAAATTCTGCTTGCCTTTGGACCGTTTAAGATAAACAAGCATTCTTACACAATTACGAACCTACAAAACTCAATTTTTAAGAGAAAAAACAGCATACAATAGAATGTCAATAAAGCAAGAAAACATTTAGAAGCAACAGTTTTTCTGGTAATACTGACCTGCAGCGATGTAACAAAGAGATAAAACCAAGACGAGTTTGAACATTTTGGAAATGTGAAGCAACGAAATCTGGCTAGAGTCAATACTGACTTGCGGTACGGTTCTATCGTGATGGACTAGCTTATATAGGACTACAGCAGGAGCTAAATGGTCTAATGTCGACCATTATGGCGATTTGCATAAATGGTTTATTGGCTAATACAGCGGTACAAGCGCCAAGGATAGATATCTTTACTCTTTCTCACTGTAGTGGAAATGTCAGAAAAATGTTGATTAGAGGAGGAGGCGGTTCATGGGATGGGGGAAGGAAAATGTGTATTGCTTTGTTGGAGGTGGAATTCAATTGATTACATCATGGCATTCTTTTATAATTTATCAAGTTTAATTTTTTTTTCTGATATACTGTAACATGCATTTTCATGTCTTTTGTCTCTTAGAAAAAATATAAAAAACTAAAGATGGTATATTTAGCTGGAAAGACAAAATGCTTTTATATAATACATTAACTTGCTTAAGGTTTTATAAGTTTACCTGGATTTTAAAATAAGTTTGCCTTCAAGTTTCTATTAACTCGAACTACGACCTTTTCATGTCATGGAAGTTAGGGTCGACCACAAATAATTAAGGCATTTGCCTAGTGGTATACCACTTGATTTCCTACTTGAAGGCTCATTTACTCGATCTCTATTGTATACCTGACTAAAGTCAGGGAAAATTAGGTGCATTAAACTTTACCTGATTTGTTGACTGTCAGGGTAACTATATTTTCTTTTGTTCTCCTAGGTGAGTGTTACTTTTCTTTTACAAACTTCACAATAATAAACATTTAAATTGTTAATAGTGATTTTAAATTATAAATAAAGATAATTTTGAATTTTAATATTTTATAGGTGTTGATGTGATGGAAATACGAGGAAAATTCAACCCCAATCATTTTTTACCTCTCATTTTTCAACCACCCCCACACCACACGACTAAAACAAATCCTGGCGCATTTTCAACCATATTTTCATTTTATTTGTCTGAAATTAGGATATTAATTTGAACTATATAAGAGCAGATAAAGTTTGTATTAAAATATTTTAATAATCAGCGCTGGAACGTGAGCGGGTTGCGTAGCTTGAGAATCACCTCCAATAATGGCAGACATCTGGACGCTGCCTGCTAAACACCATGGCAACTTGGACTCGCTAGCTGCTATGTAATTACCGTTATGGGATTAATTGGTTAATTATATCCGGTAAGTAGTAAGTGACATAATTGGTTCCGTTTTATAGTAATGAGGGTCTTTGAGTTGGTTTGGCTAATGAATCACGTGGCGTCTACACGTGGTTTAGTAAACGAGATATGTAAATTCAAGCTAATTACACGTTGATAATAAAAGATCGTATTTTTACTTTCTCGTACACGAAGTATAGAGGAAGTAGTGTAATCGTACAAAAAAATCGAAATTTTCACAAATCTCGACGTTTTACACCTCCCTGAGTTGGAAAAGCACAGTTTGCTAATTATAATTTTTGTGAATGATAATAAATTTAATTTGCTTTTGTTCCTTGCACTTTAATTCTGTTATTTAAAGGCAAATGTACCAGATTAATATTCTAAATTTACGGCTAATCAATTTTTAAGGAATAGATATTTGATATTTGCTTTAACGATGCAGTTGAAAAAGAACGACAAATTCGATGTTATACTTATATATGAAATTTCGTCAAACTAGCTGTAACGGTGCTCAACTTATCGTGTTCACAGACACACATACACACATACACACATACACACACATACATGCAAAAAAAATATTGTAAAATTAAGTTTTTCCAACACAGGGAGGTTCTTAAACTTTGACATAATTTGTGAGAATCTCGATTTCGATTTTTTTGCACGAGAAAGTAAAAACAAACAGTTCTACGCCCCCCCCCCCCCCCCCAAAGAGATGCTTTGAAGAAACTCTGGTGATGAAGTAACAGCACATTTTAAGAGAGAGCAGTGAAGATGCTCGTGTGATGAGAAAGAATGACCTAAGCATACAATTTTAGGTGCGCCTAAACATTTATTGTGTACAGTCTCTTTGTTCAGCTAGACATTGATCCCATTCCGCTTGCTCCTGAGTCCAATTAATTCCTGCCAATTAACTCATGTTAATTAACTCCTGCCAATGAACTCCCGATTAATTACTTGTTTGTTTACCATTACTAGCTGGTATCTCGACGATTTTTATAGAATTAAAATTAAAAAGGTCGCTTGTAAACGATATTTTATTAACTACATATGTTTCATGTGTAGCGAAATATAATATTTTCTCCTTTTTCTTCAAAGTTCATATTTAACACAAGGCGACTTCCGCTATGTAGTTGTGTTTTTTTTTCTACTTTTCAGTAATTTATTATTTGTGAATTCGACACTACCCTCCCGCACCCCTTCCACACCGCCACTGTGAAAGCAGCCGTCCGTGACGACAGTTTACAGACGACAAAGAAAAGATCAAGCAGATTTTCTTAAAGTAAAGTTTCTGTGACCTCGGCATAGGAAGAGATAGTGTGGTCAGCACCTTGCCCAGCCGCCTTTATTTCCCTAACGTGAGTTAGGTACGGTCAGGGACGGTCTACTGACTTGAACCCGGATTCGAACTCGAGACTTACGGGTTGGCAGTCCAGCTCTCTACCGCTAGACCACTCCGTTCCGTTAGAACTTCTTACCTCCACTCTAAAGGTTAACAAGAAGGTTAGATAGTCGGCTTGCATCGTCTTGCCCACGAAGAGAATTATATATATTAGAGCCGACCCGTGGCGTATCATACACGCTTTTTAGTTATTTTATTTTCTACTTTTCAGTTCTTCAAAGTTAGTAAATTTGGACACCAACCTCCCCCCCCCCCTGCCACCGTGAAAGCAGCCTCCGTGACGACAGTTTACGGACGACCATTAAAAGATCAAGCAGAACTTCTTACCTCTCCTTAGTTTCAAATCATTTAAAAGCTAAATTATCTGCGCTTAATAACCGTTACTAATTCGACCCAACATTCGGGGTGAACCTTAGCACACCAGAATGGTGGGAGTTGGGGTGGTAGATATATGCCTAGAAAGCGGGGGGGAGTAACGGTGTGCGTTTACGTGGTGTTTTGCATGGTCCCCATGAAGAGAATTAATTTTATATATATATATATATATCTATATATATATATATATATATATATATAAAGAGAGAGAGAGAGAGAGAGAGAGGGAGAGAGAGAGAGAGAGATTATTTACATTTATCTACGACAAAGGCAGATAAGCAGAAATAAACTGGTGAGCCGAATGGACAGGGAAGTAATGATTGTTTGTGACGTGCAATAGTTTCATGAAGAAATCAGCTTAGTTATGTTAATGATGTTTTTCTTTAAATCTACATCATCTACCTTATGGATCGTTCGGTTTGAAAACGGAACGTAAATGAAAGTTGTATGTTATAAAACACCTAGGGTGATCATCAATGTATGACTAGAATCACCTGACCTTAAAACTATTCCCGATATATTTTGACTGCTAAAAGGAATGCAGGTTTCTTTATAAATAATAAAATATTAAACACTACCGATAATAATATTAAGCTATGTTTGTCGTTTTTTAAAGTTAATTGTGTCGATTATTTAATGAAAAACTGAATTTTAAAAAAATAGTAAAAATGTCTACCGAGCATTGACAAGATGAAGTCAGTGTTATATTAGAATTCCACCATCAATCTAATTTTGGCCTCATCAATTACATTAAGGTGACGTTTTGGAGACACGTTTGGTGGTGGTCGACCTAAGCTAGATATTGATGAGCTTCTGTTCGCCCACATGCAACGTGGGCGAACAGACTGAAGCGCGGCTAATTATTTATAGATTAGAGTGTCGACTTAAGGGTTTCGAAATAGTCGATGGTTTACATGAGATCTAACAACACCTATTGATGACGTGTTGTCGTGTGAACATTCAATACTGATAATATACAATTACTTGGGACAAAAACGCAAATTGATACTTAGATGTTTGTCATATCTCGATTTATGTGCTACCAAGATGTGTCCTATCAAAATATAGGTCCTATCAAGATTTATGCCCTATCTAAAATATGTCATCTATAAAAATAAGTCCAAACACATACCAGACATCATACTCGTGTAGAAGATGATTATGTCGGACATTACACTATTGTAGGTCATCAAACTCATACAGGACATGATACTCCTGTAGGATATGACAATCCCAAAGGACATGATACTCTTGCGGGATAAGTTGTATTGGTTATAAAGCTAACCAGTGCATCTGCTTTGGGGGATATATCATGTGAAACATCCCTCACTTTCTCTCGACAGTATAAAAACACCTGTATTCACAGCACCGCGAAGTGCAATGATTTAAAAATAAATCTCATTGAAGGTAATCCTCTTGCCTAGGCCACAGGTTCCCAATAATTTTAGGTGACGACCACTTCTTATTTTTAAAAAATCCGATAAAATTATTAAATTCGTTTTTTAAAAGGTAATAAATAAAAGAATTACTATTTTTTAACTATATGTCCCTTCTAAGTATTTTAATTAGTTTTATACAATAGTTAAAGTAAATGCATCAAAATTATCGGGTCAACTTTTATTAACGCCACCCTCTCAACATGGAATTTATAATTACACTATTTATAACCCCTCACACAGAGGTTTGCTGACAAAGATGGAAATAAAATTCAAAAGCCTATTTGAAAAAAAATCGACAGGAAATCTTTCCTCTTTTTTTGAAACAGTAAGTAATTCTTGTGAATTGCAAAAGAAGTTCATGAATTTGCACAATGATTCATCGGCACATAACTTGTTAAATGAAAAACGTGGGAAAAAAGGACTTCTGTGTAACCGCCGTTCGGTTTTGCCACAATTTTAAAAATCGCCTTAGCACTGAAACGAGACAAATGCTTAAATTTGGTACACGGGCACCAGATGGTTTGAATGAACAGATATCTTTCATCTAACCACCCCCCTCCCGCATACACCACGCCCCCAACCCCACCCCTATACAGTGTCCAAGCGTCCTTCTCACGCGTCTCTTCTTTTAGATATCGTGGCTAGCAGACAATACG